CATGCTGCCATAGCCGGAGAGCAGGCAGCCACAGACGAGGCCAATTGTTACGATCAAATCGTAACAAGAACAAGAAAATAAAGAAAAGGAGAAGAAGAAAGGAAAACAGAGAAGAAACTATAATTGAAACTGTATTCCCAAAATTCACATGATCTCCTTTACACGGTTATATGAGTACTCTTTATACTCTAAGTATCCTGCCAACAACAAGTAGTATGCTCAAGAATAAAACTAAACGACTACACATAGACATGCTAAGAGTTTGATACGACTAACCTGAACGGTGTCGTATCATATCAATCTAGCGTGGAGGTAGTGAGCAGCAGAAGCAGCAGCAATGGAGGTGGAATTGAAAGAGCTGCTCGAGGATCTCCAGTCTCTCAAACTATCGTTACCTGATCCTTCAAATCGTGCTTCGATCGATCAGGTAATATGATCCCAAGGCAATTGCATGTTTTCTTTTTCTCTCTTCACGATTTGGATCCAGCTCTTGTTTGCTTTTGAGAAATAGGAATGGAGAAATCACACATCAATAAGGTTCTGAAAATGTAATTCTGTAGTTTCGTTTAGTGCTTTTTCTTTCTCTTCCTCTTCATAAGTTAGTGTTTTCGTAGCTTAGTTATGGATTTAAGTTTGACTGTACATTGTGTGATTTATTTCGCTGTTTTACCGTTTGATCACTTATTTTGTGTGTCTGTGTGTTTGTGTGTGGTTGTAGCTTGAAGAGCGAGTGGAGCATGTCTGTACATGAACAGGCTTTTTTTCCGCCCGGAACAGGTCCTGGCTTTACTTCTCTATTTTGATGTGTACACTTATTACAAGCTAAATACTGGCTTTTCCCCCCTGTAATACCAGATACTTCTTTTCATTTTCTGATATTTCTTTATGATTTGAATGCTATAGTGTTTAACATGTTTAAGTGTATAATGTGAAAATTGAATATCTTGCTTGTTTCAATGTTTCTGCTTCACAGTGTGGCATGACAAAGACTGATGCTGCTGTCCAGACACTTTCAGACATAAACCCAGATGTTGTGTTGGAGGTAAGTGTTGTAAGAAAACTTTGTGCTCCCGTGACTCATTGGGTTCTGCAATTTCTCACACACAAGAAACAGTCATTCCTTTTTATGAAGTCTTGAAGGCACAGTTGGGGTTAGTGTTACATATCTGTAGTTTTCATATGGATGACATACCAAACTCAAATTGGGATTCAGTGGTTAGTTAAAAAAACAATTCTAGGAAGATCACAATTTTTTATCTTGATTTGCTATTAGTGAGTGTTTGGTTGTCTTGAGTCTTTTATGTGGCTTAAAATTGTTCTGCGGAAATTTAAGAAGAAAATAGACATAATGGGCTTCTTGCTTATTACTTCTTTCTTATTAGAGCTACACACTCAACATCACAACAGTGCAAGGGTTTGATACATTTATGTCAAGTTTAAGGAATAAAACATTTCGCCCTGGCAAAGAAGGTAGTGGAGTGGATCTTGTTTTGAGCTGTGTGGATAATTATGAAGCAAGAATGGCTGTTAACCAGGTAAAGAATTCTGTGCCATCTCTAATTTACACAGGTTTGATATGGCTCTTGTTTTGTGTTTATTTTTCTCTTTTTGATTCATGATCGTACAATGATTTTAGGTTGAAAATTAAGTTTTCAGTGTGACTGTTTTAGGATTAATGAATTGCTTTCCGTATTCTAGATTATAATTTTATTCCTTTTGGAAATGCAGGCTTGCAATGAGTTAAATCAGACATGGATGGAGTCTGGTAAGCATCATCGCACCTGGTTGTTGCTTTTCTTGATTTTGTGGGCAACTGTATGAATCCAAAAAAATTTGGAACTATTGTACAGGAGTAGACTGTATTTGCATAAATGTGAATTTGGTTCTCGATAAAGTTTAGTTTCAAAATAATTTCTAATTTGGCTTAGTGGAATACCTTCATGGCAGGTGTGTCTGAGGACGCTGTGTCAGGTCACGTACAGTTGCTAGTTCCTGGAGAGACTGCTTGTTTTGCATGTGCACCTCCTCTGGTATAGTTCCGGTTGAAGACGTCATAGCTTTGAATCTGGAATTACTGACTATCTGTAGCTTTACATATTAGTGCACAAGATAGAGAAAAAAAGGTCAGCTTTACATATTAGTGCACAAGATAGAGAAAAAAAGGTCATTGTATTTGCTAAATGTTTACCTGGTAATGAAAACGTCTAAGCCCAGGATTTCAATATCACCAGGTTGTAGCATCTGGTGTAGATGAGCGAACACTCAAACGTGAAGGAGTTTGTGCAGCATCGTTACCAACCACCATGGTAATTTTGTTCACTACCTCTTTCCCCCTTTATTTGCTAAGCGGTTTAGTAGTTAATGGTATAATTTGAACTCCAAGGGGTTGTTGCTGGCCTTTTAGTGCAAAATGCACTGAAGCTGTTGCTACAGTTTGGACAAGTCTCCCCTTATCTGGTAAATCTCTCTTTCCATGTGTTTCTGTTTATTATCATGACTGTTTTGACAGATTCTGGTTTTTTGGCTTGTTGGTAGGGATATAATTCTCTCAAAGATTATTTCCGATCCATGGAAATGAAACCAGATCCCCAGTGTTCAAATGCAGCCTGTCTGGAACGCCAGGTATCATTTGTTGGCACCTTTGGTTCACAATACTCTCTTTGTTAAAATTTATCTGTATGGATACTTGGTTAAATTTTTCATTGAAACAATGGTGGTTGTCATGCAGAGAGAATGCATTCTTGCAAAGCCGGCTAGAGATGCTGCAACTAAAGCCAAGATGGAGGTAGAAGCACTAACAACAGTAGAAATGCCTCTTCATGCTGATAATGAATGGAACATAAGGTAGAGCTTTCACAGATGCACTGGTGTTTTTATTCTTGTCCATATTATGGAAATCAAATATATATCTTTGGTATTATTTTCCTGCTCATTGATAATGCCAAAACATGTATTAAATTGTCCCATCAATTGCTTTCAGTGACGAGAGTCATGAGACTGATATACTTAAACAGAATTTTCAGCGTTGTTGTAGTTTTAGTATGCGATTTTTCTTTGGTGATGATTATTGCACCTCTTTTACTGCTTTTTTTCCTTGTCAGTGTTGTTGATGATTGTGAGCCGCCAAGGGCAGATGTCTCAAGTTCAGGTGATTTCTGTAGTTTATTTTCATTTTCTAACAGCCTTTAATGGATAATGTTCTCTTTGTAATATTAGGAATACTTTGCTAGTCATATCCACTACTCAACTTTGAAATTGGCAAATGTGTCATGTTATGTATGCAATGCCGAAGTCATGTATTCAAATGATGCATATGGTGGCAAAGGTTTGCTTGCACTAAGAATTTTACTAGACGCAATCTCTTGAATATTTTGGTAGCTCCTAATAAAGTGCTACATGGAACTATTCGTAATCGCAAATTGTGCACTGCTTTTAATCCCCTTTATCTTCGAAAGTGATTCCTGCAGATGCTCTCCCTGAAGGTCTCACAAGGGAGCTCCCAAATGCAGATGAATTTCATAAGTTTCCAGCTGCTGAACCAAGTGCTACTACATTTGATGACATTGAAGAACTCCGGAGGCAACTTGATGCCCTGAATGCTGATTAGGTTCAATACTGGCTTTGTTGGCCTAAGGTTCAATACTGGTTTTGTTAGTCTAAGGTTCGATACTGGTTTCTTAAACACAATTGTTATTGGAAGGTGTAACTTGTAAGGTTCAATGTTTATTAACAACCCCCTCTTGGGGTAAATAATACAAGCTTGTTTTAAGCCCTGGAGTTTGGACTGTAATGTAGTGCCATGCTTTTGGTATTACTTGTAACATGATCTAGGGATTTTCAAAGGAATCGTGGTTTTCTGATTAAACAATTAAAATTTCAATTACTCTTGCTTCTAAAAATATTATGTTTAATATTTTAATTACTCTTGCTTCAAAAAATATTATGTTTAATATTTTAAATGAAAAAGCTGAAACATGTCGAGGTCTACCCACACCAGCAAAGTATGGTTGCCGTACCAACAATCAACCAAGACGAGCAACAGTCCTCCTATCTTGCAATAGGTGATGAATTTGCAATCTCAACATCCAGAGTTCTACATTGTTCCTCCTCCCATTCATGAAGTTATTGATGGAAGATATGCAAGAGAGCTGTGCATATTTACCACATCTGACAGAGAGGAGATTGGAATTTGGATATGAAAATAGCTGGGGACTCAAATTACCAAGTCTGGACCAAGCACCAAAACAGAATCTAACTTTTGTGCCATTGGCAACCTTTGCCTGAATAACCGAAGATAATTGGGTACCTGTGAAGCCCTTGGCAAATCCGGCTTTGACGATATTAGACCAAACTATTGACGGAAATTTGAGGTGGAAAGATGGAAGAGAAGCGTCACATGAGATCTCACGCAGGGGCGGAGCCTGAAATTTTGATTAGAAGGGGCCAATTTGTACATTTGCTGGATCAAGAGGGGTCTGTTTTAATGAAACTTTAAATGAAGAGTGAAAAAATTCTGAAAAAGTGAACAACTAAGGTTCGAACCCGCGACCTCCTTGCTGGAAAAGGGGGGCCAAACCACTAAACTTTGCATTTTTTTGTGACATTCTACAAAATATATAAGAACTAAACAGGCCTCCCGCTCCGCCCCAGATCTCACGTTTCTTTCTTACCAGCCTGCACCTTCGTTTTATGATACTTTCCCAACCACTTGAACAGCTAGCAATGCCTGATATTTCACCAGGATTAACTCAATACCGATACACCCATCTGCATGACACAAAGATCATTCATCACCAGCATAAAAAAATAAACGGATTTAATTCATAACCAACAAATTTAAGATTGAGCTTAGAAGATGTAGGCCATTTCAAAATGCTCCCTCCCAAAGAATTTCTCACATGCTCTCTTCCCTATTGGTGGGTTCTATCCTTGAGGCATTGCCTTCCCAATGGATTTTTAAAAGTGTTGTTTTAATTAATTATACTCGCTTTAGACAGCAAGTGCAGATGGCCGAGCTGGTCTATGGCGCCAGATTAAGGTTCTGGTCCGAAAGGGAGTGGGTTCAAATCCTGCTCTCCACAGTATTGTTTTTCGATTCAACTATTACATTTTGTTCTAAAAATGGCAGGGAGAGCAAGTAAATTAACCCAACAATCATGGTCGAGCCTAAGCAAAAGTGTGGCCATCCCACGTGGCAATCCCTCGGGAGCGTGGGCTGATGAGTTAGAAAGTGAGGGCCTTTTTTGTACACAGGGCCGACAACTCTAGGCCTACCATAAAGCTAAATATTAGAGCAAATCCGTATCAAAAAGATTAGCTCCCTTTTTCACAAACACTGGACTCTGCATTGTACGGATTAAAGCATTTTTTTGTCTCTTTATAAGGCCTCAAAGTTGGAATTCATCCTCGTATAGGATTTTGGACTTTTTTCATTCCTGTATTCACCCTTTTGGTTTGTTTTTGTCTCTCCGGCTAAAATCCGACTAAAATTGCTGACGTGGCAAGTTTTCCCAGCGCCACATCAGCTTTTTTGGGTCCCATATGTCAGGGTTAACCCAAACCATACCAATCCCACCCGACCTATTTCTTCCAACCTAATGACCCATTTTGTAAATTTAAAATTCTCAAAAATACCCCTGCCCAAACCTTGTTCTCTAATTTTTTTTATTAACCCGAATATTGAAAATTGATATCAAGCCAACTTTCTCCTCTCGCTTCTCTTTCTGTCTTTTCTATTAGTCATAATAATGAAATATAAGAACAATTGCCCAGAAAGACAATTTCCCCTCCCGATTCATCATTAGAAAATATCCAAGAATCACCATCATCGTCACCACACCAAGCAGCACCACAGTCAACCTCTACACTTTCGTCCTCTTCTCCTTGAACCCACCACTATTGTCGTTCACTGACTCGCCACCACTATCGAGTCGCATGCCGCCCCATCTCCCTCTTCTTATGGTCATGCCTCGTGGGTAACGCCGCTAACCCTCTCCTTCTTTTCCCTTCAATTCGCCGCCGCCACCGTGCGAGGGAGAAAAAAATTGATTGGTGGCAGATCTGGACGGCATGGTATGGAATGCAATTGGCCGAAGGTGGTGGATCCTGGTGCTTGGAATTGTTGGTAGTATTAGATCGTTTTTTTTTTACGGATTGTTGGTTTTCATTTGGCGACGACCTGAACTGCAACCGAGATGGAAAATCGGGTAAGGACCCGTCCATTTTCTCTTCAGTTTCGATTTGTGGGTTACAGGTTTTAACCAATTTTTTTTTTGGTGTTTTGTTGTTTCAGGATCGAGGGATCTATGTAGATCTGAGATCGTGATTGGATTTAGTTTGTTTGGTTGCCTTTGACTCAAAGGTGTACTCTCCTCCTTTTTTGTTTGTTTTTGTTTGGTTTCCTAAGATGCAATTCGTGGTGTCATTTCTGGTTTCTTTGGTTTTAGATTGTAGAAGAAAGGAACTAATTTGCCGATGGAATGTGAACTATATATGAATTATTATCTTCTTTATTCACATTTGGTTTATTAGTATTGTTTTTTAGTGTTTTTCACCTGATTTGTTATTTTGATTTTGCAGGATAGGTTGGCTTCGTCTTCAGTGTGCCTTCATCTTTTTTTCTGTATATATATCCTGTTGCAATTCTATTTCCCCTATATTTATTTGTAATTCAATCTATATTTATTTGTAACTCAATCCCATCTTCAGTTGTAATCAAAATGCATAATAAAAAATTCATTTTTCTATTCATTTTCGTATTTGTTTTGTCTATTAATGTAATTAAGACATTATTTATTGGGGTAATTCATATATAAAATATGAGAGAATTAATAAAACTCAAATACTAAATCTAATATTAAATAATTGATTGTTAGAATAATATGAGACAATCAAGGTTCATTAGAGTTAATACTAATTTTTACCAAAATTTAAATTTAATATATCAATTAATATGGGATTTTTAAATAATATTACATATTTTAGTAAAAAATAATATTACATCTTCAATTGATGGGTCAATTGGGTGGGCGAACGGTTCGGGTCGAGCGGGTTTGGTTTTTTTTGTTGGAATGATACCTTTGGGACCCACGAAGCTGATGTGGCGCCGAAAAATGTGCCACGTCATCGATTTCCGAGGGGTTTTGGCCGGAGAGATCAAAACAGACCAAAAGGATCGAACGCAAGGATGAAAAAAGGCCAAAATCTTACACGAGGATGAATTCCAACTTTGAGGCCTTATACAGGGACCAAAAAATGCTTTAATCCGCATCTGTACATACTTCTTAAGGATTAAAGCTTTTTTTGGTCCCTGTGTAAGGCCTCAAAGTTGGAAGTCATCCTCGTGTAGGATTTTGGCCTCTTTTCATCCCTTCGTTCATCGCTTTTGGTTAGTTTTGGTTTGTCCGACCAAAATCGCTGATGTGGCATCCACATCAGCTTTGTAGGGCCCACATGTCATGGTTTAACCCAAAACCAACCCAGCTCCACCCGACTTGTTTCTTCCTCCCGATTGGTCCGGTTATGGATTTTTAATTAAAATACCTAAATTATAATCCTTACTCTTAAATTATTATTTTAAAAAGATTATTTTTTTACATATCCAAAGACACATTTTAATTTTTACCTAAATATAATTTTTTGACTCATCCAAATTTTTTTACCCATAATCCAATTTAAAATTTTAAATTAAATTAAATTAAATTCTAGTATCAAAAATTAATATAAAAAAAAAAAATATAATTACATGTGAATTTTTTTCCAGTATTAACTTTTTGACCCGATTTAATATTAAAAGAAACAACACAATTACCATTAATTATCTCATTATTTATCTAATATGAAAAGATTAGCTCAGATTTTATTTTTTTCTTCAATTATCTCCATAAATTCTTCTTAATCTTTTCTTAATAAAGAATATTTTAATTAAAAAAACAAAAATATTTCCACCACCATCACCCTCCTCCACCCGACAACCACCACCAGAACCAGTACCACCCTCCTCACCAACGACGACCACCACAAGAAACACCACTACCCTTCTTCTCCATAAGCACCGGTTGAATTGAGATTCTATTCTTGTTTTCTACCATTAACAACATCAACACAATCACAACAGTATCTTCATAGAGAAAATTAATACCATAGTAGCCCAAATTAATTTGATTTATAGAATACCCTAACCCAAAACCATAGCAGCCACAACCATGTCATCCCAACCACCACACAACAGTGACGTCTGTGGGCAGCGAGCTCCGAGGCGGCGGATCGAAAGAGAGGAGAGGAGAGATCAGGCGGCGCGATTTGCAGAGGAAGACGAGCAGATGCAACCTGGGTGGCGATGTCGCTCATGTGCTCGATAGTGTCGACGGCGGTTGTGGCAGAGGACGCGGCAATGATGGAGGCGACTTCAACAGCAGTTAAGGCGAGAGAGAAGAGGCAGGGCGATTCAAGCTCAGTCCCGTTGAACGGAACTCGAGTAGAGGTTCGCGAGGAGGTGGCACCTCGCCTGGTTGTAGCGGTCGTGGAAAGGCAGCGGCGTAGGAAGGAGGAGGAAGATTGGGAGGCGGCGCTAGAGTTGAGGAGAGGGTGTGGCGTTGGTTAGGTGGCAGAGGTTACCTCGACGAGGAGAAAAGAGAGGAAGGCGGCGGCTATGGTGATTGGCAGAAGAGGAAGGAGATGCAGGGAAGGGCGCAGTGAGGAGGAAGACTTAAAGGAGAGGAGGAGAGGAAGAGAGGAAGAAGACAAAGGGAAGAAAACAGAGGGAGGGAGGAGTAACCGAGAAGAGGAAAAGAAAGTCTGGGAGGGAGAAGAGTAGAGGAGAAGGGAAAAAGAAAAGTGAGGAAGAAGAAGGAAAAATCAGGAAGAAACAAAATAAAAAAAAAATGTGGAGAAAGGAAAAATTAGATGAGAAAAGAAGAAAAAGAAAAGAAAATGGGAAAAAAGAGAAAAGACAAGAAAGGAATGGCCCGGGAGAGAGAATAACAAGATAATAACAAATGAGAAAAAGTAAAAAGGAAAAATAACTTTTTTACTAAAATTAAAGTAAAGTAATTGTAAATTAAATTTTGGGAAAAGAGAAAAAGGAAAAAAGAATAAAAAATCTAGACAAGTGGGTCAATGGGGTGGCCGAACGGGTCGGGTGGGACTGGTTTTTTGTTTTTAGTTTAACCCTAACATGTGGACCCCACAAAGCTGATGTGGCGCGTAAAAATTTGCCAAATCAGCCACTTTCGCCGGATTTCGGCCGGACTGACCAAAATGGATGAACGGAGGGATGAAAAGAGGCCTAAATCCTATACGAGGATGAATTCCAACTTTAAGGCCTTACACAGGGATAAAAAAACGCTTTAATCCTTTGTTTTTTTTGGAGAAATGTTATGAGAAAACCTTACTGGCAAAGTCAACTTTATAATATTCTTAGCATCTAGACACCGTGTGGAAGCCTTCAACTAGCGTGGAATACTGAGGTAGTCACTAGTCAGCCCTGCCACTCAGATTTTTCAACATATACTGTTGTTTATTGTCAAAACAAACAGTAGAAACCCAATGTTGAAAATTCTTTTTTAGTTCTTTTGACCGTTGACAATTCACAAAAATCTTGTGTATTCCGTTTCACAAGAAAGCCATGGCAGCAAAGTATATATATATACACATTAGATACTGAATCCAAAATATCTCACTTCTTCTGCTAAATCCTTCCTTTGAGCTATCGATCCTCTAGCCACTGAATTAAATTAACAGCCATGGCTCCTCCTTCACACAATGTTGCCAATATTGTAGTGCCTACTATAGTCCTCCCTTCGCTAATCCTCTCGCTCCCGCTAATACTCGTTTCCAAGATTCTAAAACGAGCAAAACGTTCCTTATTCGGTGAAAAGATTGCTGGAAAAGTGGTACTGATCACTGGAGCATCTTCAGGAATCGGTGAAGTATGTGCATATAATATAGATCTTCCGTATATGTTCAAGTTATTACATTAATTGTCTTTTTTTATATGTAATAGAGTTCTCTGATCTTGAACTTTTTTATGTGATCTTGAACCTTGTAGCATCTAGCATATGAGTATGCAAGAAGAGGAGCA